TATGAGCCTGACGTCTCGTATTTACGGGTGTTTGGATACGCTATTTATGTGCCAATAGCACTGCCACTATGTACCAAAATGGATTCTCAAAGAAAAATAGGAATTTATGTCAGTTCTGATTCACGATCAATTGTTTTCTACTTAGAACCCTTGACAAGAGATCTCTTTATTGCACGTTTTGCGGTTTGTCACTTTTGATGAGATAGTTTTCCAGTCACTAGAGAGAAAGATAAGTATGCTAAAGTTCCTGCAAAATGCCATAAATTGTCGTGGTATGCTCCCACTATGTCTCATTTAGATCCCCACACTAGCCAATCTGAAATTGAGGTGCGACGAATTATAGATCTTCATAGCATTGCTCAAAGCATACTGGTTGCTTTTAATGATCTAGCAAAGGTGACAAGATCACATATACCCGCTGTAAATGCACCTACAAGGATAGATGTACCCGTATATGTCCACAACCCGCCTAGGAAAGCTGGACTGTCCCCGAAGGTGGGGAGGCCGCACCTTCCACGTGGCAAGGTACATTAGTGGCTAGCCAATCATCTACTCCGACCCTGAAGGGTGGCAAATCCTTTGGTTCGAATGATTCACAACCTTGGAAGAGGAAAATGGTACCAACTAGTCACCTTATTTTGAATCCGACCATCGCTCATTCATCCGTTCCAACACATGAGGTCATTCTAGATTATGGTAATGCTTCAGATGAAACATGCTGACCTACTGAGAATCGCGAGATTTCGGTCCATTACGCAGTATTGAATGAGGTTTGGAATAGGAATGAGATGATCGTCGATGATGCATTTGCGTACTTAATAGCTACTGACATCATGCTTAGCGATGACATTGAACCACATGACGTCAATGAATGCTGACGTAGAACCGATTAGTCAAACTAGAAACAAGCAATGCAAGTCAAACTCGATTCGCTCAAACGAAAAGTGTTTGGACTTATCGTTTCTACACCACCACGCGTAAAGCCCGTTGGCTACAAGTGGGTTTTCATGAGGAATTGTAATGAGAAGAATGAAATAGTGCGATACAAAGCACACCTCGTAGCGCAAGGCTTCTCTCAGCGCCCTAGGATTGATTACGAAGAGACATATTCCCCCGTAATGGACGTTATAACATTCCACTACCTTATCAGTTTGGTAGTTTCCAAAAAACTGAATATGCAGCTCATGGACATGGTAACCGCGTATCTCTATAGGGGTCTAGATACGAAAATATACATGAGAGTTCCAGAATTACTTCCAATGACTGGTTCAAATAGTTCTAGACCACAGAACACTCTCTAAATTAGGTTGAGGAGGTCACTCTACGGATTGAAACAATTCGAGCGAATGTGGTATAACCGTCTGAGTGAATATTTGACAAATCAGGGTTATGTAAACAACAAATTATGCCCATGCGTGTTCATAAAGAAGTCACATTCCGGATTTATAGTCGTTGTAGCGTATATCGATGACATGAACCTTATCGGGACTCCCACACAGCTTAAGGAAATTGTTGCACACTTGAAATTGAAATTTGAGATGAAGGATCTTGGGAAAACTCGATATTGTCTCAGCTTGGAGATCGAGCATTGTTCGAATGGAATCCTAGTACATCAATCGAGCTACACCCAAAATGTGTTGCATCGTTTTAATAAGGATAAAGTGAAGCCTTCAAGTACATTCATGGTCATTTGGACTCTAGATGCTAAACAAGATCCCTTCATCCAAAAGACAATGAGGAAGAGATTTTGGAACCCGAAGTTCCTTACCTAAGTGCAATTGGGGCTTTATTGTACTTAGCTCAGTGCACTAGACCCAACATCTCCTTTGTAGTTAATCTTTTGGCAAGATACAACAATGTGCCCACACGTAGGCACTGGAATGGTGTTAAAGACATTTTCCGCTACCTCAAGGGTACTACGGATTTGAGCTTGTTCTATACCCACAAATCTTCGAGTGTTGCTGCCTCCTATGGTCCTAGAATTAATTCTCGTCTTGTTGGTTACGCAAATGCTGGATATCTATCTGACCCATATAGGGCACGTTCTCAAATGGGTTACCGCTATATCTTAGAGGTCTATCAAGCAAATGCTAGTTGCGACTTCGTCAAACCATGCTAAGATTCTCACCCTGCATGAAGCATCGCATGAATGCTTTTGGCTGAGAGAAGTTATAGAACATATTCAAAGCAGTAGTGGTCTTACATTAGTCGTTGACTTTCCTATGACAATCTTTGAAGACAATGCAACATGTATCGAGCAGTTAAATAAGGGATACATCAAGGGAGACAACACCAAGCACATAGCGCCGAAGTTCTTTTACTCACACCAACAATAGCAGCATCAGAACATTGAAGTCAAGCAAATCTGCTCCCAGGACAACCTGGCTTACCTCTTCACCAAGTCGTTGCCCAAATCTACTTTTCAGAAGCTCGTCCAAGGAATCGGTATGCGTAAATTATTTGAGTTGAATCGCTTGTAGTTCTCGTATTTACAAATTATGTCTAACTTAGGGGGAGTATCTAGAAGCATACTTATTTGATCTTAATGTACTCTTTTTCCTACGATTAGGAGCATTTTTCCCACTGGGTTTTTGCTACTTAACGAGGTTTTAATGAGGCACCCATTATGGGATGATCATACTCTGTTGAGTTCACTACTTTCGTCATGTTTGATGTTTGTTTTAGACATTATTCATACTTCTCACTTTTCTCCTTAGTCTATGGGGTTTTCCCCATGCCTTGGGTTTTACCATAGCGAGGTTTTGTGAGTTTTACTACAAATGCATACTATCTTAAATTTGAGACTCGCTTTCACCCATTGTGCTGATGACTTCATCAACTATTCTACCTTATCTGCTAAAGATTTGATGCTTTGTTGAGCATTTACTCGCTCAAGGGCGAGTGTTGCAATCATATTTAGAATAGGAATGTGATTGTGTAAATCCTAGTAGATATAGGAATGTATCTTATATTCCTGTTAGGAGTTGATTACCTATTAAATGTTGTAATCCTAAAGGGAAAGGTTTTTACCTATCCTACTACTATAAATAAAGACACAATGGGGTGATACAAACACACCTCACAATTAAATCACTCTCTCCTCACTCTAATTGCGGCTGGCCACCTCTCTCTTTAAACCCTAAAGATTGTTCAATCAAATAGGCCTACAACAATAGTATGGTTTTTTGTTAGGGAATTTTTATAACCCATGTAACCTCTTTTTACACCCAACTTAAATTTTAAATGTTAATTGTCTTTTTACCCTCTTGTACAATTACCATCAAGTATAAGATGAAACTAATAATAAAACTAAAAATTTCTCAATAAACCCACACACTATAATTACACCCCTACCATCACTCTTTTTTATCTTACGTTCGTTCCGGCTAAAACCCTAATAACTCTTGTAGAGAAAGACGAGTTTTTTTTAATTTTATCAATGGATGATGATTTTGAAGTTTTAATCTCTTGCTGACATGGATTTATCGATGAATGGTAATTATATGCCTCTTGAATTTATTGATCCTTTGTCGACATGGATATATAGAGAAGAATTCCCGGAGACTATCAGACCTGATCTAGGTCTTGGAGTTGAGAGAGTTGCCACATCACCTCCTTAAATGTCTACTTGCATTCACCAACTTGAAGGACTATTACATCATACCACCCTAACCACCAAAAGTTACACTTTAGTCAGTTCACAGAATCATAGAGCCATGAAAAAAGCGTAGGTACTATAAGTTATACTGGCCATTGGCCAACGCTAAATACATGGTTAGCCTATTTTATTTTCATTATTTCTAAAATCTATACCCAGATGTATCACTAAAGTAGGAGGAAACAAATTGGACATGGGACATCTCTCTTTCCTTCTCCTTTCAATGCTTATTACACGAACAAATTATATGAGCATCTTTAGAAACACCATCTATTAATTTCTCTTCGGTATTGTAAAGTTGTGCCGGCATTCTTTAAACAAAAGTGGTTCAAATATTCTAACATACTCTCAACAGTTTCAAATTTTTTAGGAACATATTGGAGATCTATCTCCTTTAGCGCACAAATACAAACTTCAGTAAAAAAATTTCAATTGGGATTTCGTTTTTTAAATCGGTACAAAGATAAATTTACATTTTGAATTGGGTTTGGGAGGGTACTCTAGGTAATAAAATTGGGTTTAAAAAGATATTAATCCTTTAATTAAAAATAGGGAAAATTTGAAATAGGTCTAATTTTATAGACTACCTTTTGAAATAGGTCCAATTTCTAGTGACTTTTGACTTTTGAAATAAGTCCAATTTTTAGTTACTTTAAACCCATTTCAAAAAACCCCTTAAAAATAACATGGGTGTAAAGAATAAGTTGTGTGTAAAAAAAGGTTACAAGGGTTTAAATAAAATTTCATTTTTGGTTAAAGTAAACTTAACCCAACCCATTTTCATTAAAGCTCCCCATAAAAAGATGCATTTTTACTCACCACCATAACTATGATGTATACTCATCATACACCTAATCATTTGTCATGTGTCCTTTCACTTAGCTCTAGTTAACTTTCAAATTAAATGTTACTTTTTCAATTTTGAAAAAAAAAAAAAAAAAAAACTAAGATTTAAGCAAAAAAGACATGTGACAAATGATTAGGTATATAGTGAGCATACACCAAAGTTTAGGTCGGTGAGCCAAAATACTCCCATAAAATATGTTTTCATTTATGCCCCGTAACTCTGTAAGCAGTTTGGAAGGATTTGTTAATGAATTTGGACACTAGAAAACTGAGACTCGAGTTTTAGGGGGTTAAGTTACAAAATTTGAGTTTCAAGGAATTGAGGTGAGACTTAAATTGAGTTTCAACAGGTTTAGATGTAGTTAAGCCTTTCACTATACAATCATTTTCCATCATAAAACACGAAATTCTCATTAGCGGAATAAAAATGAAAAAAAAAAATTGCTGAACACCAAAGTTGGCCTGGGAAGCACAGTTCCTTCAGAAGGGGAGGATCTCTTTCAACTCTGTGAGACTGCTTGTTGGATTGCAATGTAGTGGTGTACCAAGGTAGAATACACACACCAAGATGATACAGAAGAGGAGGCACATTGATCATTATTTTTCCCTTTTTTAATAAATGATGTTGAGGGAGGAAGGATCAAGTACATAACCGCGTAGTAAGCATAAATACTCTTAATCACTTAAGTTACAAATCTATTGCACGAGTTTATTCGACGCAGAAATCTTATTTTCCTTGGGTGCTTGTGAACTCCCTAAAAACTTGCTATCTTCATTTGCTTCACCAATCCATCTAGAGTATTATATATGATCTCAACTTGAGGATGTGAAGGGCACCCGACAACAAATTCTTGCACAACACGATTGATGCTGATCCAACTACAGCCGGGCTGCTTGGCCACCCCCTTCTCCCTCATAAACTGCCGCAACCCAGAGACATCGCCCCATCGATGATCAGATGCCAACGTATTAGCTAGCATCACAAAGCCTCCAGAATTCTCAGGATCCACTTGAGCCAGTCTATGGGAAACATATTGAGCCAAATCTACTCTAGAGTGGAGTAGGCAGCCGCCGAGCAGAGCACCCCACACAAGACCATTAGGCTCAAAGGGCATGGAATTTACAACATCCAAAGCTTCTTCAACTAGGCCTACCCTTGCAAGGAGATCAATGTAGCAAGCATAATGTTCTAATTTCGGATAAACAGAAAATCTTGAGGTCATATCGTTAAATATTTGACGTCCTTTCTCCGATAAACCAGAGTGGCTACATGCACATAAAGCACCGAGGAATGTACCCGCATTGGGTTGCAAACCAAACTCTTGGATTTTAGAGAACAGCCTCAAAGCCTCCTCTCCTTCACTGTTAACCGCAAGACCCATGATCATGGCATTGAATGAAACAATATCTTTTGTATGCATCTGATCAAAAACTTCTTTTGCCCTCTCCAAACTCCCGCATTTTGAATACATGTCGATCAATGCTGTGGCTAGAATTCTGTTTGACCGAATGACACCCTTGCTTCCTTCAGAGTTCAGGTATTGGTGAACCCATGAACCAAGGTCTAAATCGCCAATTTGAGCGCAAGCTGAAAGCACGTTAACCATTGTAACATGGTTAGGCCTATAACTGGGATTTTCTACCATTAAGCGGAAAAGACTCAGAGACTCCAGAGGACAACCATTCTGAACATATGCACCTATCACGGCATTCCAAGCAAGCACGCTTCGCTTTCCATTATCACCAATTTCATCAAATCTTTCCCTACTTTTCTTAACCTTTCCCCATTTCCCATACAGATATACAAGGACAGTGTTGACAGAGTCGCAACCAGAATTCTTAGTGTCAACATTATCGATAACATCGGACAGGATCTCAACCCATTTCTCAACTGCAACCATCTCAAGATTCGAACACGCTGACAAGACGCTAACCATTGTATCATCTTCCGGCCGCAAATTTTCATTAACCATCATTAAGAAAAGCCGCAACACTTCCTCACTCTGACCTGACTGAGCATAACCCGCAATCAACGATGTCCAACAGTAAACATCACCCGTCTCAGGCATTTCATCAAACACAAGACGTGCAGAAGCCAAATCTTTAAGTCCTCGAGCATACACCGCAAGCAGGCTATTGCAAACAAATGCATTGCAAAGAAACCCCATTTTCGTAGCATGGGTTTGAATTTGTTTGACATAACGAGGGTTTTGGGTGCGAAAAGAGGCCTTGAGAAGGAACGAGAAGGTGAAGTCATTAGGCAAAAGAGAGATCTGTTTCAAGCATTTGAAGAGTGAAAATGCATGGGAGAAGAGACCCTCTTCAGCCAAGACCCTGATGATTGCATTGAAAGAGAAAATGTTGGGTTTTCGGAGCTGACGAAAGACTCGGAGAGCGAGGTGAGACGGGTAATGGCCAACGAGGCGAGTGGCGATCAGGTTGTCCTGGTGAGCGCCGAGCTGAAAGACATGAGCGTGGATTTGAAGGAGACGAGGGTGTGAAATACGGCCCTGTAGGGAAGCAGCTAAGTCGGCGGAGGGATTGGGAAGTGGATTGGGTGAGAGTGTGTGGAGAAGATGAAGAGCAGATTGAGATGATGAGCAGAAGCAAGTTCTGAGCTTTTGAGGAAATGGAAATTGTTTCAGGTGTGGGAGAAGCATAATCTGAGTCCCCTGAAAGTGTTTTGCTTCCACACTTGGAAGTTCTCAGCTTTTGAAGGAGATAGCAAGAAATCAAAGCTTTTCTTCGTAACTGCATACGAATCAAAGATTTGTGTGAGCTCAAATATTTTCCTGGCATAGAGGCGACTCACTCGAGAAGAAAATTATTATTTCTTACTGGAAATATGCTATGGACATTCTTACATATTTCAGGCCTCATATCCCTTCTTTCTTCTTCTTTTTTTTTTTTTTTTTGGAACTTATGACGGTATGAGAAAAAAAAATTTGATATGGAAAAAAGGAATTCAGAAAAGGAAGAATATCTGTAGGAGGGGCGGCATGCCAAACAAATGAAGACGATAGAAATCATAAATTGACTAATTTGTCAACACCAGCATTCCCTTCTCGAAATGTATGAGAGCATCTGAATACCATGTGCTGCAGTCGGAATAACATGATCCCACTCGACATAGAAGAGTGGTTGATAGGCTCGTGTATTTCAATGATCTCTTGGTAATCAACAGGTGGATGCTGTAAATTTCTTGGAAAACTCATTGATCTATTGGTAATCACAGAAGCAAGCTTGTGTTGCTCAGTCATCGGCAGAGTCGAATGCCAAGCTAAGGCAACTGAATTTTTAAACCTAACATGGTTGACATAGATAAAAGTGCTTCGATTCAAAATAATAAAAGTTTCGACCATATTCCGATTAACTAAACAACAGCACAAGTTTCTCGACATCTCTAGGGTTAGAAAAACCTATTTTTACAAGCACAAAGATCTAAACACATCGTAACCCAGACATAATTGATACAGAAACTGATGACTCGTGACGTGAATCTGAGTAAAGCTCGAACGAACAAGAGAATAGAGGAATCAAATCCGCTAGCCAGACAAGAAAGACATGGCTCGCCTAAAATCCAAAGATTTGAGAGCTGACCCAGGAAAATGCTTATCAGGAACCCATAATTCTCCATTTCGTGGCAGCAGTATTTGTCGTTGGCTAGTCTTCTTGGCTTCTGCACAACTATTTCCTGATGGAACTTCTTGTGTTTTCTTCACAAACTCAAAAAACTCCGCTACTTGTCGAGCATACCTTCAAAATCCGAATTGCAAAACAAATTATTATGGCAGTTAAAACAAACATGATAAAGATGTATCAGCACAGCGCTAATACATAACACAGACCACCCCTAATATGTAAAAGGTGAATATTGTTTTAGCCACCTGACCATGTCAATAAAACTGGTAAGGAGGTAATTTTCTTAAGCATTAGCACAATCCTGTAATGTCCTCCACAAGAATGTGACGGGGTTCAGAACATCTACTTAATGCTGACATTTCTCACTATCTCTATCAGAGAAAAGTCCTACCGACAGCCAAATATTAGAATGTGATTAGCCCAACAAAGGCCAAACACAACACATTTGAACTGTTTCTGTTTCAAGATTTCAAGCAATTAAATCAATTCAAGAGCATATGGATACTTTGATATATGTGAGAAATATAAATTAGACATATTTTGACTGCAAGTGATGCAATCTGTATATGAGCCTATACTTATCACATAACAGTTAAACCAAATCAATACTCAATGATGTTTTTAAATGATGAGTAAAACAAACTTAGCAATCACATTTCTTGGGGACATGAAGTGTTTAACTATTAATAATACACACGAAGAATATGCAACTTTGAGACATAAAGCAGTCATTCCAAAACAAGAATATAACAAAGCTTATTTCCCCAAAAAAAAAAAAAGTCCGAAATAAGTAAAATTCTTGTGCAAGCATTTTAAGGATAGCTTTCTTACTGCCTCTTTGCGTCAATGTCTTTGTTAAAATCAATGTTTGGCTCACAGTCAAGAACCAAAGCAGGAACCTGCAGACCATTGAAGAAAAAGGAATCATATTATCAGGGAGATGAGATAAAAGAAGGTCAACGAGATTAATTGAATATGATACCTTCTGAATGCTTGAATGCATATGATCACCCTGCAAGTAGAACACACGGTCCCTGATATCAGGAGGTAATCCGCTGTCTATATTCAAGGCAGGCTTACTAATGGACAATACACCGTGATTGCCACTCTCAAATGGGAAGAGCCAGCTTTCATGCTTTTCATGTAAACCACGGAGATACTCTAGGCTGACTTGATCTTCCTCTGCTCTCTTGCGTAGCTTCATTCTCTGGTGACAAGTGTCAGGACTTGCTCTAAGATATATGAAAGCATCAGGGACAAGCCCGGGCAAGGATGATACAACTGGGTCAAACCATGAGTCATAGATACTGATCTCCATCTCATTCATCCATTTCGCTTCATGAACCGCTCGAACAAAAACCTTTATTATGTAACAATGAAATAAATGCATGAGCCTTGAAACTTTAAGTCAGGTTTTGGTTCCCCTTGAATTATTAACCAAAAGGAAACTAAAAGACATGCAACGTTTCAATTCCATCAATTTTGGTCACAGCTGAATTTAGACGAGGTTACAAAAATTCAAAATCTATTTCCAAATAAAACAGTTTTTTTCCTACTCTTAATGGAGGAGCATTTACAGTGAGTTAACAGTTTTTCCCAACTCCATGGGCAAATTCATAGAAACAAAGATGCAGTTATCACACTGAGTTAAAAGTTACTGAAAAAGAACAATACACTTACCATCCTGTCACTAAAAACACTCCTTTCCATCAACCGGAGGGGCTTGATACCACCAGAGGATTCTCTCTCCTGCATCAACCTTGTAACAAAAACATAATTCTGGAAGGTGTAGGCATATCTCTCTGGATGAGCATAGAAAGCATCCAATATATTAAAATGGTCGGGTCCAACATCCTGCCACTTATTAATAGGTTCTGGAACCACCTCAACAAGGTCTCTTAACTCAAGTGTTTCATTTGCTATTCTCTGAAGAAATGTTGACTTTCCAACGCTGATATTTCCTTCAACGCAAAAAGTAAGTCTTTTCTTCTGCATTAGCTTTGGTTCCGAGTTAGAGATGTCCTCTTTTGACTCTTCATCAACACTCTCTTTAATATAAGTAGTAATACTCTCAGCATGGTTTTTGTGGATGATTCCTACAGAACTTTGTAAGAACTCAACCATCTTCTCACTAGATTTTCCAAAGAACTGCAAGCAGCAGCCCAAAAACTCTTGTCATTATAGATTCGAAGGTGTCCATATGCCAAACATAATGTAACTATTCCTTCTATTTGAGGAAAATAAAAAAATAAAATAAAAAAAATAAACTGGTTTCTTTTCGGCTTCCAAAATCCATGTTACATAAACATAAGCATTCTAAATCACCATAACAACTCCCGAAATACTCAGAAAGGGTTGAATTATCTAGTCAAATTCATTTCAGAAGTCTGAATATTAATGTTCGCAGTCTAAACCGCTAAAAATTCAAGAGCAAAATTATCTTCAATTCCAAACCCCCAGTGCAACACAGCATAGCATTCACAACAGAAAAGCTTGAGAATCAGTACAATACACAATACCTTATCTCTATACAATTGCTTGAGCTCGGCAACTCCCCCAATACCCTTTTCCACCAGCTTCCTCAAGTTCCTTGGCCCCACGCCAGGAATAGCCAACAAGTCCGGGTTTCCGGCCAACAAACCACCGTCCACGGAGCCCCTTTGTCTCCGGCTCAACCTATTCGGCTTCTGCTCCCCCGAACCCTTTTCAGGGTTTTCACCGGCGCCAGTGCCCAAACCCTCAAAACCCTCTTCTAACCCCCCGCAACTCTCGGCAGCGGAAACAGAAAATGACCCATCAGAGCTCGTATGCAGCCACGCCGAGCGGGACCCCAAGCCCGAGTCTTTGAGGACAAGCCAAGCCCGGGACGGGGATCTGCCGCCCACAGAGACAGGGCATTGGCAGAGGCCGCAGTTGAAGCGAGTGAGGGGAGTACTGGAAGCGGGTTTGTTGTGAATAGTAGCGGCGAGGGCTGAGCCGGAGACGCCGGCGGCGGCGGTAAAAGCTGCGGTTGCAGCAGTGTGCATTCTTGAAGGTGAGTCGGTGAGAGCTTTGGATAGAAAGTTTGAGGCAAAGGGGATAGGATAAGAAAGAGGGGCGGTCTTAGGCGACTTGCAGTGAATGGGGCCTGATGAGCTTATGCGCAGCAGTTTCTGCATCACTACTAAGCATTTCAGAGTCTATTTTCTTTCTTTGTCAGAGGGAAAGAGGGGAAATAGGACGAGACGCAGAGAGGGTTTTGAGGGTTTTTGAGACTGAGAATTTGGGGAATATTATTTTAGGGTTTATTAATGTAAGGTTTTGTTTGCACTCATTGATTATTGATGGAAAGGGGGTTTGTCTTTTGGTCTGTCCGGCCGCTTGGTGCGGTGGGCTGTGTGTCACGGACTCGGGGACTAGGGTTTTAGCTGCAGCGCGAGATTTTACGGTGTGAGGACAACCCGGTCTGTTACATCAATTTATATTGGAAATTTGAAAATAAATATTCAATCAACTGTATTATGACATTTAGTGTATCAAATTATGTTTTTGATACATTGAAATTTTTCTCTAGCAACACAAGCTTTTCATTTATTTTTTTCTCTTTTAGTTTTTAAATAATAGACTTGATGGAACTTCATGTTTATGATTAAAACAGTTCAATTGACGGAATTTCATGTATATGATCGGAACCGTTTACATTATAAATTTATATGTAAAAGTCACCTTAACAAAAAGTAAAAAATATATGAAATTGTTTAGTCATCGAATAATATAAAAAAAATTATTAGTACTGGTACAAGTATTACAAACTGTCTATCTATTTATTATAGTTGACTAAGTAAACGAACTTAGATTTGATTTCTTTAGATAATTTTCATAGAATGATTTATAGTATGAACTGTTCCAACTATAAGCACGAAGTTCTGTTAATCGATCACAAAGTATTTTGAGTAAAAACTCCTCAATTTAAGGAGACAAGTTTTTCTCATTTTTCAAAAGACTGAAAGAAAGAGTATTTACCTATATGAATTTTCCATTAAGAACAAAGTGAAAATTTATTTTTAGGAGTGGGCAAAGTTTGGTATGGTTCGCTATTAAAGATAATATAAGTGTAGTAATAAAAAGTTTGCATCGATTGGGTTGATTTGGTATTAGGTTTTATTCAGTATATGAGACCGAATCATGCCGATATCAATTGTTTTGGTTAGGAAGCAAGTTATATTTCCAAACAATTATAGAAGCTGTTCATCTATTAAAATACAAACACAAATAGATTCTTCAATGTGTTCAAGTTACAGTGACATACAACAATGCAGAGTTTCACTATATTTTGCTTCATTCATCACACATATATTTAGCAAGTGTGATTTCAACAAACTATGGGCTCATTTGCAAGGTTCTTTTAAAAAAACATTTTGGTGAAATTGATTTTGAATTTGAAAAGTAATTTAAGTGTCTTTTGAAAGAAACACCAGATATGTGTTTCTTGCATAAAACACTTAAAAGTACTTTTTCAAGTTCTACTTGTATTTTTATTAACAGCGCTTTTAGTCATTTTAAAAGCACTTAATGAATCCTACAACTATTTTATTGATAGCCTAATATTTTTAGATAGCAAAAGATGATATGTTCAATATATTTTATTATTTGTTCCTTCGGGGGACTTCGAATAAAAGTTATATATTTTATTATTTATCCAATTTTTTTTTAATTCTTTCTAGGGAACATTAATGTTGAAAGTTACATTAATTGCCAAGAAATTTCAAATCATATATACTAAAATTTAGTTTCCTCTGACACTGTTCATCAATAGTAAAAGGGCAAAATTGCCCTCGGATTCTTCTTTGTTTGCAACGTTGTTTTCTCTTTTTCTACGGTAAAAAGTTGGTTTTGCCCATTTGATCTACGCATCTGTCATCGTTTATCTCTACAATTCCACTGGCTTTTCGTCACTTTGCCATTTGGCTTGCGTTTTGTCTCTTGCCAATCTCTGCTTCTCTCCATTTTGGTCTTGCTTTCAATTCCTCTCAAATCTTCTATTCTAAGTTTCGTAAAATATTCACCTCACAAATCCTGGTTTTGCTTTTTTGGGGATTTTGTTTGGGTTCTCTGTTTTCAGAGGGCTTTTGCAACATTGTGAACCTAGATTTCTGCCCATTTTGCAGAGGCTTATAAAATTTGTTCCAAGGTTTTTCTTTTCCTAATCTTGCGATCCTTGATGCAACAATTAGTGTTTCCCTTTTTTTTCTTTCTGTGATTCTGGAGTTGTGGCCGATTTTCCTACGAATTTTTAGTGCAATCTGGGCACGGTTTGCCTTCAGTTGTATTCAACTTAGGTAAGTGTTCTAACACATCTGTATGAGTTGTTATTTCAGATCTGCCTTGATTTGAACGAAACCCTAACGGTTCGGCGAAATGGAAACCTCCATCACAATTATGTCGCTATGTATGTGGCGCAGTTCCTCCTCCTCTGAAGCAGCAAATCTCAACAAAATTAAAGCTCAGAAAATACTAGAGAGAGATAAGGAAGAAGGTGTTGTTTCTAGTGGGAGATAAGGAAGAAGGTATTGTTTCCAGTGGGAAGCTCCCCCCCCCCCCCCCCCACTTTTTCTAGATGGCAGTGACTCAACAGCTCCCCGTCAATCTCCGTGCCCCCTCACCTATTCATTTGGTGTAAGTTCCTTTCTTTCTTTCAAATTTCATTGTTCCTCTCTTGCTTTTGGTGGGAAGCTACAAAATTTTGGTATTTTTATTTGTAAATTAACGAGGAATGTTGAATTTCCAACAAAACACAACTTTATTCTCTATGTGCCCAGACAAATATGTGTTTTGGCTTAAGGATTATGGTATTCTAATTTGTTTAGTCAGTAATAGAATAAGTTTTTGTTTCTTTAATCAATTATCCTGAAATTAAATCCTTGCAACATGTAATATATTAAATCAATTGGTAAGTTATTGTGCATGGAATGATATGAAGATCTCACCGGTTAATCACTACTAATTCCTATCAAAAATCCTTTTTTTTTTTTTTTTTTTTTTTTTTAAAGATTTAGAGTAATTTTTTTTCCTATACTTATTAATCAGTCGTTCAAAAAGTTAATGACTAAATTTTGTACTGGAAATGGTTTGAATGATTTCTGTGAATGATTTTGAGTGATTTATGTCAATGATTTTGTATTGGATTTAGTTTCAATGATTTTGAAAATAAATAAATGATGTAAAAAAAAAAAAAAATTAAAATACCTCCTTGTTTTCCTTGCCTTTGACCGAATCAAAGACGAGGAATTTGCTTGGCTCATTCATTCAATTTCAGGTTCTCCCAAAGTTCTTGAAATTTATGTTGATCTTTGAAGCCAATAACACAATTTTGCTCATCTTTCTAATGCTCTCTTCAAAATTCTGTGGATGATATAATAAAGTTTTTGCCAACTAAATCTAAGCAAAAATTTTGCAAAGTAGAAGTGATAAAAATCTCTGTTTCATATAACTACACTACTACATAGCAGTATTTGATCAAACTATAATACATTTTTTTTACAACGGTGATGCATAAGGGTTAGCATTGAAGTTGGAAATAAGTAAGACTTTGTATAGATTATTCTCTCCCTTCCTTGCATTAGAAGGCAAGTATTATTCCAAAACGTTCGGTATAAGTGAAATTCAGATTGTTGAACCCCAGCTTTTTAATTTTACAAGTTCAAAAATTTTCATTGAAATTGAAGCATTTAGAGGATCTCTCTTTTGAGTTTTATTATAGTATTATTGTTTTATTCTCGCCTATTTTTGTTTCTACCAGTGTTTGATTAAGAATATGGATATTGAAAATTTTGTTAATTTTTTCTCATTCCTCTTTTACAAACTTCGGTGAAATGCATTGCAGGTCATCAATGCTCTTTTGCCTCCAAAGTTTCCAAGCTAACTAAACTCACTTCCCTCAAGCCTTTTTCTCTTCCTTGATTCACTGTGCAAAAGCTCAACTTCTCAAGGTTCGGTTTTTATTGTTAGTACTTTGATTTTTTATATATGTTAGTAATTGATGGCCTTCTTTTGAAAAAATGCTATTGGAAAACTGAATATGAGTTATGTGATTTGTGATTTTTGTTCTTAATCTTACTAAGATTTTTGTCCATTTTCTCCAACTCTCTCTCACAGCGGAATCACCGTCACCACCCAACAAACCCAAGTGGTGGAATTTCACTGTTCTTGGAGGGAGCTAAAGCTGCTATCTTTCTCCACAAAGTGTTAGATTTTTTTTTTATTTGGGTTCCATTTTTTTGTTTTGTTCTCTATTGGTTTAGCTTATGTCAAATTTCGCTATGTGTTAATGTTCACTTATGCCTTATAATTGGTATTTTTTTAGTGCACCTGTGTACAACACTACGTGATGTTCACATAGCCATTTTGTTATTGGTTTTGGCTATTTGTTATTATGTTCCATTCCACTTTGATACCCCTTCATAGAAAATACTAAAATCCTAACGGATTCCTATTCAATGACATCTTAAGTTGTTGTAGAAGCAAATGATCCAATAATTACATATTTAATCAGAACTCCAGGAGTGTTTTTTTCAATAATTTGTTGATTTTGTGTGATTTTGTTTAGATGGCTATCTTAAATTTTGACAAGGCGGATGTGCTTTCATCATTTGTTTCTTGGAAATTGATAAAGTGAATCCTCAACTTTGTTCGTGTATGATAAATGCGGAAATTATTGAGATCGTTTGAAAAGATTGAAATAAATAGGTGAGATTGAAATGGTTAATATTTTTATCAGCTGTGATATTAATTTGGGAGAAAGAAAATTAAAGAGATGTGTGACCACTTTTGGAATATGAGCATTTTTGCACAGTGCACCTTATAGCTTGTACTTGGTTTAGTATTTTTTAATCAAACGTGTTTTTTTTTTTATTCATCTGGATGTTAAAATAATGTAACATTTGTTATATTTATTTGGTTCCTTGGTTTTATGCTTATAGCTATGATTCTTTTAGCTGTTAAAATAATGTAACATTTGTTATATTTATTTCTTGGGTTTATACTTACAGCTATGATTATTGTGCATTTGGTTTTACTTCATTGGGTTATAGTTTTGGTTAAAATAGTATTCATTGTCATTAAAACTTTTAAGATTTAAAAGATACTAAGTAAAACAGGGAGTGGAATAATAGAACAAAGTAACTTCAATACATCAAAAAGTGGTCCTAAATTAAAATTGTA